GGGTGTGGGTGTGGGTGTGGGTGTGGGTGTGGGTGTGGGTGTGGGTGGTTGTCCGTGGAGTGAATTTCTACCCACACCCGCACCCACATCCACACCCTAGTTTTTTTTTCGTTCTGCTTGTGCTTCAACCTGAAGATAGTGGGATTCAAAGGTGTGGGTATGAATGGAGAAATAATTTACACCCACACCCACTCGTGTATCAGTATCACTATTAGAGATGCATTGTTCTTTGAGAAAATGAAGAATTAAAATCTACTTTAGATTTTATTAGCCACGTGATCAGATGGATATAAGATTACTCGACAAAATTTGTTCTAGTTGGCCATCATAATGTAATATCTTTGTCTGTAATTCGTGAAATTTTATCAGTTCACTTTGCGACTCAGTTTCTAACGCTACAAATACTCAATTGCTCTAGCCTGAGAAGTGCCTATTCTAAATAGCTATAAAGAGAATTTATTAATAAGTAAATGAATGTAACATTTTTTAAGCAATGTCTGTGACGATGTTCATTTATTTTTGTAGATGCAAAATTCTATTTCCTTCACTATTGACAAATTTCATTTGTTGTGGTATAGTAAAACATAAATGCCAGAAATATGTGATAAAAAAGATGATAGTACTGATAAATGAATCACGCTTCATTATACGATTATCATTATGCGCTCTTTCATTTGTATTCGTTGATGGATATTGATATAATTGGTCTGTTTCCGTATCAATAATGAAAAGGAATTTTAATGGATAAAACAGAATGTAAAATATATACCACATTATATTTCGAATTGTCGATTGATATTTTGATGGTTGTCTTTTTTGACGTTGATGTTTAAGTAGGCGTCCTACAAAGGACTCTTCTAATGGTTTTGGATCATGCCGTGCTCGAATACGATCACAATATTCAAATACAGATTTGTATTTTGTAAATAAAGGTGGCACTATTGTCAAAGGTTTAATCAGTGAAGTTAATGTTAAATCAGCAGCTGTAAATTGATCATTAAATAAATATTGTTTTCCATCAATATTTTGTTTAATTTCTTCTAAAATGCATATTGTTTTTTCAAAAATGTGTTCTTCTCGTATACGATGAATTCCAAAACGAGCAATTACAATACATGAACCTATTAGACCACGAATATAAGAGAGCCAATCATCGCATGATATTTTTGCGTAGTTTCTGTCTATAAAAACAGAAAGAATAGCTGGCTTCTCACTAATCACATAAAGATATGCTAAACGTCGAGCATATAAACCTAACTCACTATCTAATTTCATACAATACTGGATAATAGTATCTTTTCCAACAGTCATATTTTGAGGAAATAATGTTTTTTTGTTTTCATAATGATTGTCAAGATAGAGTAGAATTGGTGTTGAATCAGAAATAAAAAAAGATTCATTATTTGGATCTTCAATAATGGGTACTAATTTCTGCAACGTCGATGGAGCATGTTCAAGTGTTCGAGGTTCACGGGGACTGTAATTAATTGATTTATATGGTAATGAATAAAAATCTAATGCCCAACGAACTTTATCACAAAAATGTGAAAATGGAATTTGATATAAACGTATTGGCTCCAGTTTTTCTTTTTGCGAGTACAATTCACCAACAAAAATATCTTTTATCTCGTATGTATTTCTAACTAGATAAAAGCATAAATGGTTTTATAGACATTACACAACATCTTAGAAAAAAAAACACTGAATCGATAAGAAACAAAAAAGAACTGAAAAAACAAGATACAACGTCGTTAGGAAAAAAAACAACAATGCTTCTAACAACTCGTTCTATGACCAGATGGACACTCAGATACGTGGTGTAAAAAACGGAACGCATTATATGAAAGGGTATAGGCACTTTTCTCGATATTTTTATTAAATGGTAAAGTGACCGTAAACATTCAGTTTAATTGATCGTAATGCCATCAAAATAAATAAAAAAGAGCAAATAAATATCAGAACATTAAACAAATGAACAAAGACAAAAGAAATTAAAATCACCGCACACAATACACGGATAACAAGCAAAAAAAGAATGCTATATATTCTTCATAGGCGAAATGAACAAGTAATATAAGATTCAACTGCTAAATAGACACTTCCGAGTTGTGCGAAATCTGTGCATTAAGAAACGAAATGAATATCAGGAAAATATCTGAGTAAAGACGAAAAAAGAATGAAATGATCTTTTGTATCTATATTACATAGAAAATTCGTGAATTTGTCATACTTCGTTCAGCTTCAATTAATGCAAGAAATTAATCACAGTCTTTAACTTTCTTTTAACATGAGCTACACCTTCGTAGTTATATTCAGTTTTTCTTTAAGATCACTTTTTGCCTTCGTAGAAAATTGTTGTAAATCTCTGTTTTATTGAGTGCGACAAATCACCATGACACGGATTTCGAACTTGCTCAACTATCTCATCAGATGCAATAGTCCTAGTGAATTTAGGTGAATGTAGGTGTGGATATGCGTGAACTCAGTGAAGACCCACACCCGACACTCATGTGACCTATCACAGACCGTGGCAGATTGGGTCTAGAGGTCATTATAAACTGTGATAGAAGACTTCGAGGAAATGTCAGAGATAATGCATAACTAACATATGATTGAAGCATAGGTGGAGTATTACCCTGTTCAAAGTCTATAATGTAAGGTAAACCATTATGGAGGAATGTACTCCAGCATGCATAAAAAACGACAGCTTTTAGAACATCGGCTCTAGCAGCTACATCATGTTTCACATTTTTAATCTCAGAAGGCATTGCGCCAACAGCTTTTTATACAGAGAAAACAGCATACAAATAAAAAATCTATTACACAAGAAAAGATAATAGTTACGAAGGTTTATATACAAAAAAATCGAAGAGTGCTTCACGAGGATAAATAGCGCGATTTATATGCATATTATATGACAGCTTCTTATGTACAACTGGTAATTGTTCCCATAAATCACGTTCTATGTAGTTTGCGATAATGTAATCTACATCGATTCTTAAGTGTTGATCTGTCGGTGTATGGCTTTATTAGATTAGAATTAAGTGCAATTGGATAAACTACAATTATTACAAATTGATGAATTATTACAACGTTCTAGCTCTCCTATGTTAACATAAGTAAACAATAAACTTGACTTTACTATAGCGATCAGAACTATCGAATGACGTTTATTATAATTAAAGTAATCAGTTTCGAAACCGAGTGATGGCCTAATAGCAATATCCATATCATCCAACGCTTCAAAACATACAGAATAACCACATTTAATTAAAACACAATTGATGGTTTCTTTAATCTTAGCGTCTGTGTTTGGAAATTTAATAAATAGATAGAAAATTTTGTCAACTAAAATAGAACAAAATTTGCGCAGAATTTCAACTGCAATGCTTCTGCCTATACCAAACAAGTATCCAGTTGTTCTAAATTCACTGAATGATCCCAAAGGATGGGCGTAGGTGTGACGAGCTGCAATTACACGACTTTCGGTCTTGCTCAAGGATCTCATCAGATAAGGTATGGCTGTGGTGTGGCTCTGGCTCTGACTATGTCAAGAATTGCTTACTTCTTAGACAACTACACACACACCCAGCTGAAATTATTATAAGATCACTTGAGTATCATCTCAATCTCAATCGCGTCAGTTTCTATGTGAGATATAGTTTAGACAAAAGATTGAATTATGAACTATATTTTAATCTTTTCGATGACATGAGCTTATGCCCCAGGTTATGTACTTACTAGATAAAATAACAAGAACAAACGATCGAACTCATCAAGTAAAAGATCGATTGTTTCGATTGTATCTTGATCTAAAATAGATGATTCTGCTAAGTTCATGGAAAACGCCAAAAACTTCAAATGTTTGAAATATCGTCTAGGTAAAGTTGATTTGAAGAACCTATAAATAAATAATAA